AAAACATACCTTCAAATAAAGAGTAAGGATGGTCTGGGGTACGACAGCCATGCTGACCATAGTCAAAACACCATTCTGCAAACTAAAATTTGACACATTCAGTTACAATCTCATCTAATATTACAGATAGGAAACTTCAAATTCATCATTAATATCAACTATTGGCTTTTAATAACCATGTCTTGAAAAAAGGTGATGAGTGCAACTGTTTAATGTACTCTGAAAGATAACTTTGAGGTGGAGAGAGGAGTTTGGAGAGAACCACTTAATGCTTCGAAGAATGACCTGAATATTGAATTTTGGGCATCTCAAGTCTCACTTTCTTAGGCTTACTAGAGTTTACATTGTCTCAAAGGTGCTCGTTTTACCCATTTTGAACTTTTGAGAATTACCCCAAGACATAACTTTGTGAAAAAAACTAACAGGTGGTCTGTTTTTAAATATTTAAGTTGTCAGAGGTTTTTTTATCTTGTGATGATATGAGATGTATGAAAGGTCCAAAGAACCAACCTTGATTGCTTGATGAAGATACTTTTGATCTCCAGTCTGCTTGAACAAGCACAAAAAAGTGTAAGCATTTCCTGCCACACCATGACAGATTCCATAACCTTTCTTTAGAAGACCACGGCTCCAAACAACTTCTCCACACTTAAGAGCTGCATCCAGATACTTCTCCTTTCCAAAAACCTTGCAAGAAAAAAGGGGAAATTTGCCACAGTGTAGGAAATGACCACTCACATGCTTGATAGAGGTAAGGTATATAATATGCCCAAGGAGGAGCACTCCCTAAAGCTTTATCCAGGTATGCTCCACCCCAACCAAAATGGCAGATTACTTTTGTCATGGTATTCTTCACCCTATTAGTGGTCTCTGTTGTACTGTCCTGTTGCTCTTTTCGCAGTGATGAGAAGATTTTGTTTTACTATCCAGGTCAATAAGACGGCAAGCAGCCAAGTAAGTATGCCATAAGGGCTTTCCCACAGACCTTAGCGAACTTATGTTTTGTTGGAATGAAGGTGGAATTGGACTCAGGTTTCCCCCAAAATTATGGCAGTTTTTAAGATTTTCTGATTCGCTGTGAGATTTGAAGCCTAAATCGTGAGACCATGAGTTGATTGCTCAAACTGTGAGAGTTGGAAGGTTTGGGCTAAGACCAGTGCCGGATCCAGACCCTTGAGATAAGGTGGGGGGCCCAGTCTCCAAAAAATTTTTGGTCATCCAGACCCTGAGATAAGGCCATTCGGGCCTCAGTTTGGTCTAAAAATAGGGGGGATTGAGGGGTCCCCAGGCCCCTCCCCTAGATTGGCCACTGAAGACATCCACTACGGAAGAGAGGTGTCTCACCATCTCCCTATACTATATAGGTGATAGCAGTGATCACTATACCTGATATGCCTTGATCATCAGATGCACTGCTCCAGGGGCCCCATGACACCAGTGGATTAGCTTGTCAGTACCACTCTCAAGTGAAGAGGGAAAATTTCCTGATGGAAACTGCTTTGACAAAAGAAACTCAACACAGCTCTCTACACTTCCCAGGTGAGACTGAACAGATTGTGCAGACAGTGCCTAGTTATTTAAAGAAAAGAACAGCAGAATTCAAGGTAGAGGATCTGGTAGAGGATTCAAGTGATT